TAGTTTATTATTCAATATATGTTTTCTTCATAATAATTATATTTCACTTCATTTTTAGGAACAATATATGCAGCGCAGAGAAGAAGTCAATCAACATAACTTGCGTGAAGGCTCATCTTCACAAGAGTCTCCTATTGTCTCTGTTGATGATAATCAAATATACATTTCAGTTGTTGGAGGTGAAAATAAAAAAGGAAATGTGTATGGACTTGGTACATTGAGCAAAAAGTTCACTACTACATCAGGTTCTCAATCTTCTATTACTCAAACTCCAGTACTTCATCAAATTGAACAAATGCGTGAGACTATTGAAAAGTTAAATGTTGAATTGGTGGCAAAGCATAATAAGGAGAAAACACTTGAAGAAGAGATGCAGGAGTTGAGGAACAACCAATGCCAACAAGATGAGCAGATGAAGCTTATTTTACAACATATTCAAATGAATAGTCATCCTACTACAAGTCAACATGACACTGACAATATACCAGAGGACTAATTTTCAATTTTATGATATTAAGACTTTGAATCTTGATTAGTTGTTAAGTTCTTAAGTTTCATTTGTGTTATGTTTGGATGAATTAAGCAGGTACAAATTTTGTAAAATTGGATATACAAAATTTGACTTTAGTTCTTAAGTTTTCATTTGTGTTATGTTTGGATGAATTAAGCAGGTACAAATTTTATGATTTGAATAATTTGACTTTAGTACAAGGTACAAATTTTGTCAAATTGGATATACAAAATTTTAAACGAAAATTTTCAGATTTGGTTAGATTAGCGACCGAATTTTTGGTCGCTACAAATTTATTATAATATACAATTCAAATTTAGTGACCGATTTAGCGATCGATTTAAATTATTAGTTAAATATTTCAATTAATATATTAGCGATCGATTATATCCGTCGCTATTATTGTTAACTTTGTCTCCAATTTAGCTGACCGATTTTAATTTTTATTTAAATAATTATATTAATATATTAGCGATCGAATATATCGATCGCTATTTTTTAAAACTTTACCACTGGATTTAGCGATCGATTTATTATATTAATTTCGATCGCTATTTTGGTCTTCAATGAATAAGTGACCAAATTATTTAGCGACCACTTTAGCGACCACCTCATCTGATCGCTATTTAGCAACCAAAATGTAAATCGATCACTAACAAATTAGCGACTTGCCCTTTTGCGACCAACCATTTTGGTCGCTAACGTAATAGCGATCGAATTTTGGCCATTAGCAACCGATTTTTTCGGTCGCTAATAGCGTTTTTTCTTGTAGTGATACAAATTCATTTTTCAATCTTCTTCCTTCCTCTTCTTTGATTGTTCCCAACAAAATGAAAATATATCCAATAAAATATTGTAGAATTAATTTTATAAACTAAAGTTTAAAGATGATCTATGTATTATAACGTTATTGTATACACGAGATTTTATTATATATTTTTTCATTGTATATTTTTTTTACAATACTTTTAACACCTTGACCAAAACATTTTCGGGATAATTTCAAACATTTAAATCATTATTGTAATATATATATATATATATATATATATATATATATATATATATATATATATATATAATTTGCTGTCAACGGAAAAATTGCAATGACCACTTTAAGTATAATTGAAAATTCGCTACCAAACCATCGTCTACACTTTTTGTGACGTTCTTCTATTTTTTAAAATATTCAATAATGTCAACATGTTTGCTTATGCTATTGAATTTTCAGAGTTGTCAAATTTGAAACATAAATAGGATCAATTTGGTCCTATTCGACAAGCTATACTTACAAAATATTGACCCGTAATTATCATACATATTTATATATATATATATATATATATATATATATATATATATATATATATATATATATATATATATATGTGTGTGTATTATAGAATCAATTTACAATATATCCCAAAAGTTAAGAAATAATATAAGATTTGAAATTCATATGAGAAATATTACATTGTTTATTTTAATTTCTTAAATATGTACTTATATATTTAGTTTAGAGAATTTTATTTATCACCCATTAATTTTAAGTGAAATTTTATATGTATAATAAAAAGATGAAGAGAAGAGGAGTCTTATATATTTTTTTCAATTTTTCAAGTGTAAAATCTCGCATATAAACAAATAAAATTAGATTAAAAAAATAAAATGATTAATTTAAACTGACAAAAACATAGTTCATAAAATATTCAATCTAACAGAATTACGTAACTTTTCTCTACCTGACAAGTGTATTAAAAAGATAGCTTATTTGCTGCTTACTTCATAATAATATTTTATTATGATGCAAAACATAGTTTTTACAAGGCATGAGAACGTGGGTTAGAGTGGAAGGTAAGTCACGTGTCTTTCTATTTATTTATTTTTAAAATACGATATTCAACATATTATAATAAAATAATATAATATAAATTATTTTCTAATTCATAAAAAAATATTTAAGTAACACAACGGAAGAGAACATAATTAGTGGTCCTCTCTTGCACGAGCTAGACTTTTCCTGAACATTTTAGAGTAAAAACAAAAAATGTTATGTGTACACCACATTATTATATATAATTTTTAGTTTTTACTAAAATAAATAAAAAGTGTGTTAATTAAAATATGAAGACGTATAAATTTCTTAATATTGAGTTAAATATAGATTAAAAGTAATTTTATCTTTAAGGACAGTGAATTAGGGATGAAAAAAAAAACCACCACAACTTTACGAGAGGAATTTGACAAAAGGTGATTAAAGAAAAACAAAAGACGAAGCTTCGTTAGAAGTTTATTAGAAAGGTGCTTCCCTCAGTTATATATAAGAGTGTCAAAACCCAACACACAGCGTCATACATCGCTAATTTGGTCCCCCAAAACAAACCACACACACTCGTGTGTTTTTTCTGTCGTTGGTTTATCGTATGCCAGATTCAACTTGCCACAGAAAACACCTTTTCTTTTTCTTCTTATAATACTCCAACTATCACATGGACCACGACGATTACATGTGTTTGATTTTGTTTATTCTCTACATAATAATATATAACGTTGTAATTAACTTTTTTAAATTGATTATGTTCGCACATTGTGCTAGCTCTGAATTATGTAATAGTTTTTTCCTGGGTGAATAATGTTAGAGTGATATATAAATATGTTAAATATTTGAAGCTGGGGCTTTGTACGGTTTGGATTTTTGAAAAAAAAAACAAACCAAACCACTTTACAAAAACTGGTCTTTCGTATAATACTTTTTCATGTACAAGCTGAAATGTTGAAACAATATTGAATGGGATATATAGCTAAAATATTTAGATGATTTCTCACTTTTTTATTTTTATGTTTATAGGAATTCTACTGATTGCAAAAACCAAACCCAACCACTTTTCGAAAACAGTTTGATTAATTAACTATTTTTATAAAGTTTGTTTTTTTGTTTTTCTCCCTGAGTGATTGAATTTTAGGTTTGATTAAGTTGGGTTGAATTGATCGTTCATTTAACACTTATATAAGGTTCAGTCTTTTTTTTTTTTCCTTATCAAAATGGTTCAGTTTGTATGATTGGTTGAAGGTTGGATTGATTGAGTTTGATTTGATTTGATTTTTTTCACACCTCTAAGTCAAGCAGGATTGCCTAAAGAACAGTGTAATTTCTAAGAAAATGTTGAAACAGTTAACGACAGACAACTCTTTTGATTAACTAAGTAATAAGCTTACTAGCATACAATGTTTTAGCAAAAACCATATTATCTTGTCAACTTGTTGAGTAACAAGAAATGACTAGGTTGTCGGAAGTAAGTTAAAGAATATTAAGTAATAGGATCATAAGTTAATCCATTACAATATTTGCACAAAAAGGTTCAACATATAAGTTGAAAAAGTAGAGATTCTCACACTCTTCTTATGAACAAATGCTAATGAACTGCATTAAGCTGGTGTTTGGAGCGATAATCCTCACAGTTACAACACTCACATCCATGAAGTAACAAGTACCATTTTACATTGATGATGGAGGGATGATTGAAGATAGAGTTCACAGTGAAAAGGGTAAGAAGAATAAGAAAAATGGGTGGTGCTGAACACACACACACACTTACACTAACACTACTTGTGTTGTGTGAGGTGTGATGACCCCAACATTTAAAGCTGCAGAAGAGTAAGGACGCGAAACCCGGGAAGCAACACAAGTGGTCAGACTGGAACACTGCGTGTGAGTAGTACAACACATACACCAAATCTGGCTACCTTACCCCTCGTAAAAACCCCACATGCCCTTTTCCCATCACCTCTTTGGTCCACACCCTTAACCATGGTTATTCCTACTATTACTTTTCCACCCTTTCTACACTCACCAAACTTCCTTTTGGGTTAGTTTATTCAGCAGTCGGGGAGAAAGGTTCTTGAATTCTCATCTTTGCTCACCCTTCTGCACGCACAGTCTACTTCTACTACTACTTCTACCCTACTACTTTCTTCTAGTAGCATAAGCAATTAAGCATAGCTACTTTTTCTCTCTCTTTTTTTCTATTTATCTTTCTTCTTTTCTTTTTCTGCAGCGGTAGAAAGAAAATAACGTGTAAATAAATTGGAATGACACTAGACGGAATGAATGGACAAAAAAGGAAAGTGAAAGATGATGCTGTGAATGGTTTATTTAATTGGCACCCGAATGAAGACCTATAGCCATTTGTTTTTTTATGCCACTATAGTTTACAAAGGTCTTGCTTTTATAGCCTTTCCAGAACCCGGATTTCTGGTCAAAGATATTGGTCTTCTTGCTTTTAACATGTTGCAAAATAAAAATTAAAAAGAGAGAGAGAGAGGGTGTGTGTATTTTGCATTAGAAACAGAATCATCTTTTTCTTCCTATCCAATCTAATCTAGTGAATGAATTGAAGGGCTAAGAGATGAAAGATTTGATGTTGATGCTGTAGCTTTAGTAGTGATCTCTTTGAATTGAAAATTTTGGAAATAAGAAATAGGAGTATTGATGACGGGTAAGAAGAAGCCACAGAAAACTAAGGAACTTTCGGTGGCAATAGCCGAAGCATCATCAACAATAGATGATGAGAAAGAGCAACAAGAAGCTCAACCTCAACCTCAAGCTCCTAGAAAGAGAGGTAGACCGCGTAAGGTTATTGTAAAGATGGACGAAAGTGAAGAGGAAAAGGCACAAGTGATAGAGCAAAGAGGAGGTTCCATATCAGCACAAGGCATAGAGAGTTCAATGGAAAAAGTCACAACCAACGAGGAAGAGGGAACATCATCAGCATGCATGAGGGTTGGAAAACAAGAGGAGATACAACTTCCAAAAGTTGAGCCATCAAGAAGCAGAGCTAGGAGGAAAAGCAAACCCAGAAAGAGTAGCTAATATATATAATCATTGCTCCTTTTTCTCTTCTCTTTTTTTCTTTATATAATCTCTCTCTTTCCCTCAACTTTTTCATGAAGCAATTGATTCTTGGTTGGTTCCTTGGTCTTGCCATGTTCTTTTCTTATTTAGAGGATTGGTATCAAAACTGATACTGATGCTGTTGTTGTTGTTGGGGAACACAAGTGTCAATAGAAACACTTGAACGAGTTATTGGTTTACCCTCTTGTTTTTGTTCTTTGGTGTAAGTCAGTGGTTTATCTTATCCTTGCGTAAACAATAAGTATTGTGTTATGGTTCCATGACTTCAATTACTCGTTTCTTTAGTTCAATTTGAATACTATTATCCATTGCTTTTTACTCACACAGAAAAGAAAGTTAATTTATGCATATTTATTGCTTGCAACTATCAACTATAGTTGTGCTACAAAAACGTATTTATGCATATAAATATCAAACTTTTTGGCTGGGTTGTGTTTGTTGCTTGAAACTATACTTGTGCTTTAAACTATACTGTGTTTTACTATACACAATACAACATCATGGCATCATCATCAGCTTCATATTTATGTAGTTTGATAGCAACTATTAGAATCGAAGGTATTGTTTTATTTATACATTTTTGTCTCCCTCTGCTTATTGTTCTTAGCTGTAATCTGCTAGCTTCAGTGCATCGATTGCAAAAGATTAAGGCTTTGTTTGGATGGAGTGATTTGAGAGAGTGAAAATGAGGGAGTGGAAAAGGAGGGATTTGAAGAGAAATGGAGATGAATGTAAAGTGAAAGGAAAGTTTATGGGAAATTGTGAATGATTTGATTAATATGAGATATAAAAATTATAATTTTATGTTGATTATTTAAGAAAATTACTATTTTACCCTTTGTATAAAATAAGGTTCAATTCAAATGATTATAAATATAAAATTTTAATTAATTATCCATATTTTAACATTGATTATATATTTAAAAGAAAAAACAAAATTAAAAGTGTTTGTAATTGGAAACAAATTTAAAAAATTAACTTTTTTTAGATAGATATTAAAAATTATATAAATAAACAATTACAAAATTATGTACATTGCATATTCATATTCAAAAAATGTTGACATATTAAATAAAATATTTGACTAATAATTAAATAATTATAAAATATAAAATAATAATTAATATTGATTGATAATAACAAATAATTATGAAAACTAATAATATAATTGTATATTATTATTTAAAACAAATATAAAATACAGTGAAAATAGAATAATAATTAAAGGAAAGATTACTAAAATTATAAATCTATGCACACTAATGCTCTTCAAACAAATAATTATAATCTTATCCATCTTTTGCGATCAAGTCCTCCAGTTCAGATCATTCAATCACCTCCATTCAAGAACATGAACAACCTGGGAGAGACGAAGATGTGAGGGCAAGCCAAAAAGTCGTCTAACATGTGATGGGTGAGTACACAAATGATTATAACACTCGAAGCATAAGTTGCTCGTCATTTAGGTACAAGTTTTCAAATGATCGATTATTTTGCCAAAATGATCGATCACTTTTCCAAAACCTCGACACTTTAGATAGCGGTTCACCTGGAACCCCTATCATATGTTAACATATGATAGCGGTTCCTGAATAATCACTATCTAAAGGCTCCGAATTTGAATTTATTTTAATGTATAATTATATATATATATATATATATATATATATATATATACATATTCTAAAATATAATTTATATTAATTACTATAATATAAAATATAGATTCCACAATATTACTAAAATTTATATATATATATTATAGAAATGAAAATAAATTATATTTGAGAATATATAATTTTGATAGAAAATTATATATAATTTAACATTTTGAATTCCGAAAGGTTTTCTCTAATAACAAATTAAAAAACATAATATTCAAAAAAATATTTTAAGATTCAGTCTCAGAGTTGTATTTCGCTCGAGCGATTACACTCTCGCTCGAGCGAAATAACATCCTGATCGATCATAATTTGAAATGATCGATCATAATTGGAGGATATCATAGCGGTTCCTCCGTAACCGCTATTTAAAGTATATATTAGATAGCGGTTATGGTTTAACCGCTATTACAAGTTATATTTCGCTTGAGCGACATTAAACTCGCTCGAGCGAAGACACCTGCACATAATTTTCATCCTCCGGTTGTTTTTCGCTTGAGCGAAACTGATCTCGCTCGAGTGACTAGCAAAGTATGATCTCGCTCGATTTATTTTAATCGATTAAAACACGTTTTAATCGATTAAAACCACTTTGAAAGTCAGGATGATCGATCAGAATGTAATTATGACCGATCGAGTTCGTTATGATCGATCGAATTGAATTATGACCGATCAGACTTATTTCAATCGATTAAAACAAATTTCAATCGATTAGAATGACTTGAAAATTTTTGTACAGAGTTTCAATCGATTAAAACGAATTTCAATCGATTAAAATGACTTGGAAAAAATTTTGTGCAGGTTTTTAATCGATTAAAACTTCTTTGTATCAGTTAAAATAACTTGAAAAGTGTTATAAGAAAGTTTTAAACTTGAATCAATCGATTAAACCGCGAATCAATCGATTAAATCACTCTTAGAAAATGTTTGTAAAAAGTTTTAACTGATAAAAACTTGGTCGTATCGACTAAAACAATTCCGTTAAAGAACAAGAACGCATTAATGGGTTGAAAGGACTTTTAACAGATTATAACGGCTATTTCAATAGATTAAAACAAACTTTGAATAGATTAATTAATGCAGTTTTTTCTGAAAACTCTTTTATAAACAGAATTGCTTGGAACTTTTATCATATCAGTGTTCTTAAAGAATGGTTCTTAAAGTGTTCCATCAACAGAATTGCTTGGAACAGGTTAAGGTTTAACCTCTATTATAAGCTCCCTTTAAGAATGGTTCTTAAAGTGTTCCATCAACTCCCTGCTGCTTCTCAATTCCTGATTGCATCAGTGCCAGAGTCGGATTAAAGAAAGTAGAGTCGGATGTTATTGCCTTTGCCCCCACGCCAGCTTGCTCTCTAATCCCACTGCTGATTGGATTGAACTGAAAAAAGCGGAGCTTAGGTAGGCTACAACAACTCTCAAAGCGTGAGAATTGAGTCTCGGGTTGCATTTCGCTCGAGCGACTATATCTCGCTCGAGCGAAAAACGATACTAATCGATTAGATTTTTGAAATGATCGATCATAACTGGAGGATATAATAGCGGTTCCTCTGTAATCGCTATCTAAAGTGTATATTAGATAGCGGTTCCAGTGGAACCGCTATCATATACAACCAAATTTTTAATTTCTTCGAGCCTCGGGGTTGTGTTTCGCTTGAGCGACTATATCTCGCTCGAGCGAAATATGATTCTGATCGATTAGATTTAGGTAATGATCGATCATAATTGGAGGATATAATAGCGGTTCCTCAGTAACCGCTATCTAAAGTGTATATTAGATAGCGGTTCCGAGTGGAACCGCTATCATATACAACCATATTTTAATTTCTTCGAGTCTCGGGTTGTGTTTCGCTTGAGCGACTATGTCTCGCTTCGAGCGAAATATTGGAGGATATAATAGCGGTTCCTCTGTAAGCGCTATCTTAAGTGATATATAATAGCGTTTAAGATTTAACCGCTATTAGAAGTGATATATAATAGCGGTTATGTTTTAACCGCTATTAGAAGTGATATATAATAGCGGTTAAGTTTTAACCGCTATTACAAGTGCTGTTATAATAGCGGTTAAGATTTAACCGCTATCATATATTGCAGGGTAACAGCGTCTTTTCATTACTTTCATCTCTTTTCTTCGCACCTCAGCGAAGAAACTCTCTCTCTCATCTCCCCCTTTTCCTCGCCTGCATTTCGTCGCAAATCAGTTCAACCAAACGTGGGTAGTATTTCGTCGCAAATCAGTTTAAACAAACAGGGGCTAAACGAAGGAAAAGAGAAGGAGAAAGGGCGAAGAGAAGACTAACAAATGGAATGAAACAATAAAAGGTCAACTCAAACAGGGTAGGTAATAGGGACAGTAATAACAATGACTTATGGCATTAGCATACAATAATTTCTTACAAACTTCCATAACATTATTTCTTTTATATATGTCTATTGGGGTAGTCATATATCATCATTGTATTTACTACTCTTAATGAATGGAATGTTCTTGAGAAATGAATATGAAGAATATTTAACATGATGAAAGTTAATTAAAATTTGACGTGAAGAGTCATGAGCAGTGTCGAAGAGAGAAGCATGGCATAGCATGTGAGAGTCACGTGCCAATGATGATAAGGATGGTTCCACTATGAGGGACGTGAACACCAATTTCTCTATGGGTTAGTTTAGATCTCATTCTTATTCACTTCACAATATATACATCTTAGTTATTAGCGATGGATATATATATATATATATATAGAAGAGTTTACATGTATATCTAATATTTAATTTCATTAAAATTATTATTAAATATTTTTAAAAAATTATTTTATTTTTTAATTTTATATATTTAAATCTGTTGATTATTATTGTTTTATTATAAGTTTATGTGTAGTTGAGAGGGTATAAATCTAATATTAAATAAAATATTTGACTTAAAAATAAATTGTCCTCTCAATATAATACAACGTTAGGGTTGAATTTTGATCATATAAATAGAAAAGAAAAAACAAATTTACATATCCTTGATTAAAAATGATTAAGAAGTATTATATAAGTAATAAAATATGGAACGTACAAAGCTTTTTAATTTTCAATGCATGTCAATCAATAACTTTGTTGGCATCTTGTTGCAACTAGCACAATATTATAGTATTGTGGTGCTTCAAGGTTTTACGTGGGTTGTGCTGAAAGCACTTGGTAAATTGTAGCAGAAGAAATAAAATGAAAAAACAAAAAAATTAGCTTTCAAAATAAATTGTTTAATTATTTAAGCAATCTCCTTCAGACACAATAGGAAGGTTCATTGTGTGTT